CAGACTGAATGGAGGCTCCTCTCCACTTTCCCGTCTCCTAACCCAGTTCCCACTCCCCGAGGTAGGAATCCCTCTTTGTTTTGGAGCAGACACTCTCTCCCCGTTGTAGCCTCTAATATACCGCTGATGTTCTCCCCATCCCTTTGTAAGCAGAAGAAGCACCAGGCCAAACTGGGAGCAACCCTGTCTTCTCCACTCGTTATAAATTTATTTGTGCATTCTCCTGACAAAATATTTATTAAGTGCCTAGTATGTGCCAAGTACAGATTGTTATTTAGTAAATAAATTCTTTAGGCGAAGGGGTGGTGGTGGGGGGGGGAGTATCTTTCCCCTGAGCAGATCTCTTCCATCTTCACAGACAGGAGTGGAAAGGGAATTCGGCAAGTCCCAAGGAAACAATATACAGGATGTGTTGCATGGGAGGTTAACTGATGAGAAATTCAAAGTTCCTTCCTTGCTTGCCTCTGAGAGATAATGCTGATAGGACAAAGATGTCCTAACAGCAGCCAAGCTCACTGGGCCCTCTCTTTTCCTTGACTCTGCACAGGCTGGCTGGGGAGCTGGCCTTGGAATGCCTTCTTTCTCTCAGCTCTTCTCCGTGAGACCTGGCTAACTCTCCTTCCTGAGACTTCATTCGTGAGCTTGGGTTAAGTATCATTTCTTGTAACTTCTTGCAAAGTTTCCCTGACCACCAAGAGCTCTCTGAGCCCCCCACCCCCAACGACTCCCACTCTCGTGCTTCTTTGCACTCCATGCATTTATTCCTTCATAGTGGATCTCAACACTGTGGACTCATTTCTTGTTTGTTATCTCCCTAACGGGGCTGCAATTTCCTTGAGAGCAGGGTCCAGGTCTTTCATCCCTATGCCTAAGGCAAGTATGGAGGTTTGAAAGGCAATCCAGAGAAGTGAACAATATTGTGTCATCAGTAAGAATCAAAACAAAGTCTTTCTGAGTCACTCACCAGCCCTCAGTTTTATTGAATAGTTCGTTTACTTTCTTAACATAATAAAGTTTCATTGGAATATTGGCAATTATATCAGAAGACTGAACTACAGCAAGCTTTAAATACTTATTCCCATTTTATGCAGCCATCAAAAGGAATGAAATCTTGCCATTTGCAACGACGTGGATGGAATTGGAGGGTATTAGGCTGAGAGAAATAAGTCAATCAGAGAAAGACATGTATCATATGACCTCACTGATAATGAGGAATTCTTAATCTCAGGAAACAAACTGAGGGTTGCAGGAGTGGGGGTGGGTGGGAGGGATGGGGTGGCTGAGTGATAGACATTGGGGAGGGTATGTGCTATGGTGAGCGCTGTGACTTGTGTAAGACTGCTGAATCACAGATCTGTACCCCTGAAACAAATACATTATATGTTCAAAAAGAAGAAGAAGAAGAAGAAGAAGAAGAAGAAGAAGAAGAAGAAGAAGATAGCAGGAAGGGAAAAATGAAGGGGGGCGGGAATCGGAGGGGGAGACGAACCATGAGAGACTATGGACTCTGAGAAACAAACTGAGGGTTCTAGAGGGGAGGGGGTGGGGGGATGGGTTAGCCTGGGGATGGGTATTTAAGAGGGCACATTCTGCATGGAGCACTGGGTGTTATACGCAAACAATGAATCATGGAACACTACATCAAAAACTAATGATGTAATGTATGGAGATTAACATAACATAATAAAATAAATAAATAAATACTTATTCCCAGAAAGCATGATCCTAAAGTCAGCTAGAAGCACTGCCACTATCTCTGTAGACTTCTTTGATGATCTTTTACCTATTCTGAATGAGCTGAGACTTGTTCAAGTTCATTGCCACATTTTTCTCCACAGTTGGCCCAAGGATGTGTTCATACCTTTGAAAAAGTAGTATTTACTTAATCCTGCAGACCTAGGAGCCTTGGCCCACTCAGCAAGGTGCTTCCATTTGGCTTAACGACCTTAAATAATTAGTTGATTAATGGTCCTGCTTATTAGGTGACTTTCTACTCTAAATTATCCACACTTAGACCCATATATAAATCAGAAAAGGAGAAAAAATGGAATGTTCAGTAAAAATAATAATAAATTAAAAGAACCAAAACATCACCTTCCTCGTTAACTTTCTACAGTTCCTGAAATTCTCAGCATTGCCACAAACTTGAGATGACCAGAGGCTCCCGGGTGAACCGTGGATTGAAAACTTCACCACCAGCAGCCTTTATAATCTTAAATAGAAATCAGAGCTACAGCAGACATCGACAGAGGTACGGGGTTTGCAACACTTTATTAATATCCCAGGGAAAACTCTCTGTCAGAAGCTAAGTTTTCATTACTAGCTTACTCTCCTTTTTAGGTTAGTAGAGACTGTGAACTTGGTGACAGGACTAGTCAGCACTGAAGGAGAACAATTATAATAATCACACTGACTGTCTTATATTATGCTACCAATTTTTTGGGGAATCATCATAATAACACTTTTTATTTTAAAATATCTTTGTCTTTTTCCGAAGAGCGATGTTTACTTTAAAACTTAAGCTCGTTCAGAGAAATTCAAGAGACTCTAGAAATAAAATGAATCTTCAAAATAAGCCTAAAATTCAAAGTTGAAAATCGTGGGTGAAAAATGAGAACTTGAATTGACTCAACTTTTTCATTTTTCCACTGTCTGTCACATTGCCACCCACATAGCACTGGTTTCAATATGCCACGAGGCAGAAATTTGGGGTGGTGGCCATTTGTTGCTCATATGTTTGGATTACTGGTCTCTCTGAATATATAAAAATGTGTGAGGTCAGCTCTGGGTTTTTATAAGCAATAGTCTTAAAGATGTAAAGAAACAAAGAACAGTTTCTACGAATATGTCAAAATTGACTCTGGCTTAATGCTTCCCTACACATTGAACAAGGAATATTTTCTAGGATTAAATCTCCTGGCACGTGGAGTAAATTTCCCTTTCTTGAAAATCAGAATTAGAATCCCTGAGTAGGTTGCTTCTGCCACTGCCACGATTTCAGCACAGGGTTGGGTTCTGGATGAGTTTTCATTAATTGACTCTTTTCTGCTCCCAAATTTTAGAGAGAAATTCATTAGGATAAATTTCCCTTTAATTCCATCTCTTGCTAGCCACTGACTTAAACTATGTTTTAAACGTATTTAAGTAATGGCAGCATGGAAAAGAATGTGAAAGGACAGTCAATCCAACTCTCATTGATTAAATGAGAACATAGAATCCTGGGGAAGTGAAAGAACTTGCTCATGGGTGCAAATTTAGATAATGACAAAACTGAGTCTGCTTCTGACTCCTTTGCCAGTCCTCTTTCCACTACAATCAATCACAACATGTTAATCTGGTTTTTGTAAACTGAATTTTATTTCCAATGAAACTGAAAGGTGCAATGTAACTCTTTGGCAAAGCTTTCCGTTATAAACAGATTCGTTTTGTAAGCATATATGTTGTCCTCATTTATTCTATATGAGTCTTCAAACATCTTTATCTAAGCATTGAGGTCCACCTTTGTTCCTCTTGTAGTGTGGAGAGAAGTGGGGAGGGGAGCCTCTGGCGATGAGGGAGATGAGAGACAGAGAGAAGAGCAGGGAAGGTGGGTTTCGATGCATTCATTCAAGCATCATGCTTCCCTCAGGATAGATAATCTCAGATTTTTCCATGAATGTGTGCTAACAGTTCCACAATCCCATTTCTCCAAAATACGCCTCTCAGGCAGCATTGTAACTGGAAATAGGATTCTATTTGCAATGGAAATAGAACATGAAAAAAATTAATAGGAAACAAAAATTGCAAGATTATACCACCTGCCAGTAAATTAAAAGGTTCAGGCAATCTAGGAAAAAATGCTTGCTCCTTGGCCAACCTAAAGGATCCCACATGAACATTAGTTATATTGTAGAGCATAAGATTTCACTGTGCACTGAAAGATACGAGAAGTGATTCAATATTAAGGCTGATCCTGAATCAGGTATAGAACAGTAATAGGCGTCAGACCTGAGCTTGTGAGAGACAGGAGAGTGCATAAATAGCCCATTGAACACAACCTTCTTAAGCAAACACTTCCAGTGCCTTTAGGGATGGAGTTGGATTGCACAAGGGTCACCTTTATTTTCTTTAAGTAATGAAAACTCAAACCAAATGTAATCAAATTCATTCTTGAGAAATAAGAGGAGGATAAACACCCCTACTTCTCTCCATCAGGTAGGGCTGTTGGGTTGTTAGCCTCGATGCTTAGGATTCCCTCCAGAATATTGTCCTGCTTAAGGATAACCAGAGGACCTCAAAGGTGTTTTCCCACGTATCTTAAAAGAGAATACTAGCCAATAAATAATCTCTGCGTCCCAGTGGCTTTCTTCTCTCCAGCAATCCAGCTACTTTTATCTAATGGGATCAAGATACAAAGAACAATGAGAAATCCCCTCTTCCTCACTGCAAACCTGCCTCCCTCTCTCAGTCCACATACATCAAGTAATAAAGGCTAACATTTACACAGTTCTAATATGTGCCAGACTGTGTGCTGGGAGTTTAATATCCAGTAATTCATTCAGCCCTAATAAGCAGCCCCTGAGGTAGATGCTCCTCGCATCTCCATTTCACAGAGAAGGAAACTGAAATACAGAGAGAGTAAATAAATCGCCCAACCCCACAAAATAGTAAGTAGTGGAACCAGGATTCAAAGGCAGGCAGTTTTATGTTGGAATCCATTCTCTTAACCATGCACTTTTGACTCTGACCAAGCACCCATGGACTAGGCATCTCCTTGGAGGAAATGAAGTTCTGGATACGACGAAATGTTTCATGAGATACCCCATGTTGAATCTGCCTCCTACAGCTCAGGTCCTACAAGCATCAGTGCTGTTGGCAGAGAGGAGACAAGCCCCAGTCTACAATCACACACCTGTTTCAGCACAAACAACAACAGCTCTCTATTGCCCCTGGATACCCTTCCCCCTGAGCAAAGATTCTGCGTATCTCTATCTCTTAAGCCAAAATAACTTGGTTCTCACCTTTCTAGGCATGAATGGGGCAAAGCCGCAAGTCCTTTGCACATTTTGGCAAGTGGCTTAGCTCCTCAGTTTTGAGCACAAATTCCGCACAGCAGAGCGAGACTTTGAAAACTTCACAACTGTCTGGGACTGCCTCTCCCTCTGAGGAATATATAGAGGCTCTTTGCCAGCCCTCTACTGCTCCCTGGACCAATCCAGACCTTAGAGGAAATCACTGGCTGGGACGCAGCTGCAGTTGTGGGAGCTGGAGGCTGGAATCCTGTTGTGGGAGCTGGAGGCTGGAATCCTGTCTCCGCAGCATTAGGCTTCCGGCTGCTCCTCAGAGGATACTCATTCCGCCAGGGCAGGGCAGGGCTCTCCATCCTGCCTGGGTCATTCATGTTTTAACGTGTAAACGTGAGCCAGCCACAGAGCAGAGTGCCTTGGGCTGCCCCAGATCTGTCAAAATCACAGCCTGTTAGGAGGGCAAGAGCCCCAGAGATCTCTTATCCCAATTCGGTGTCACAGTGGAGGAGGTGAGATTTAGAAAAGGCCAGGGGATGTGTATGGAGCATCTGTGGGTGCCAGGCTGCCAGGCACTTGGTGTGATGCTAGGAATTCAAAGAAAGGCACTGCCTGTTCTCAAGACCCCAAAACATCCTGTCAATACCATATAAGTGAGTGATGGAGGCAGGCCCAGGGTGTGTGAGCTTTCAAGGGCCACCAGAGAAGATTTGGGGAAGGAACTAAGCCCTGAGCTTAGTGATATAAGAGGCAAAATACCCTACAGCATTCTCTTCACTAGATATTGCCTCCAAGTTCCCTTAATTTTATAACTGGTCTTGTGATTATTTCTCTACTTTGATAATGACATCAGGTAATTCCTTGGACCCTGCCTCCGCCATCCATCCTTGGTCGGGCTTGTCTTGCCTGGCTGGCTCTTCAACCTTTCCCTGTCTTTGATCACTCCAGGATTATTCCCACCAAAAGTGACCTTATTTGTGGTTCATCCTATCACGACCCAAGGGGTTAATAAATTAATATGTAAATGAAGATGCCTGAGGAGTAGGCATGAGTCCAAACTAAAACAGCAACCACATCATCTGCAAGAAAAGCTCTAAATTTAGAATTAAAGATGATTCTCATAATGTTCCCCATTGTCTGAAATTGTTTTAAACTGTTGATTGGGGCCTGTTACTGGCTTGTAAAGTCAATATACTGTATTATGATGTGATGTTTTAAATTAAATAAATAGGTTATAAGAGACATACATGCAAGTGCATTGCATGAAGAAAGTTAAATATCGTTTTCTGAAGTTTTTGCTTTCATTATCAGTATGGCTGTGTGAACAAGGTCATTAGATAAAAAATTTAAGATTTTATTTATTATTTGACGGAGAGAGACACAGCGAGAGAGGGAACACAAACAGAGGGAGTGGAAAAGGGAGAAGCAGGCTTCCCGCGGAGCAGGAAGCCCGATGCAGGGCTTGATCCCAGGACCCTGGGATCATGACCTGAGCCAAAGGCAGACACTTAATGACTGAGCCACCCAGGCGCCCCGATAAACTGTATTTCTTACTATAGTTTATAATTAAAAAGGTTTGAAGACCACAGCTGTCTACCATGTATTTTATTCACAAGGAACCCTCTCTTACTCATCTTTGCAACCCCAGCACTTAGCACAAGGTCAGCATGTCAACATTTACAAATAGTGCTTGAGCTAAATACAACTGTTCAAGTTGTATTGTTTGTTCTACAAGTTCTACTGTTTGCCGGCTGCATAAACACCAGCAAATCAGCTCATCTGAGTGATGGACACTTAATGTTCATAGAGATACAAACACTGTTGTTGGCCGCTGAGTCTCAGATTGGGAATATAAAACTAGCCGAGGAGACTCCTTGGGCCTAAATTACTCCAAGAGCCTAAATTACGGTTTGATATTTAAGGATCTTTGAGGAGAGAATAAAGTGAAAAAAAAATTAATGTAGCACTATGGAGGGTGATGTCTTGGCCAGGGCTGAAGGTCAAAGCATCAAAGCAGGTTTCTGACCAATCCAGAAGAGTGTGAGATGCATGGATGGACTATTCAAGAATCAAAACTATCTCAATCGTACTAAAAGGTGGGCTAGAACCCAACATGCAAAAAATGCAAAATGCAGTGGAAATAAATATGAATCCAGCATCTGTTTATTTTTAAAACCTTCATAAGGATGGAATAGCCTGAGAGCATGTAAAAGAGCCTGCTCATTGTTTGAGGCAGGGTTCTCCAGAGAAACATAGCTGGTATCTACGTGTATATAAAGAGAGATTTATTATAAAGAATTGGCTCATGTGATTGTGGAGGCTGAGCAGTCCCAAGATCTGTGGTCGGCAAGCTGAGGGTCCAGGAGAGCCAATGGCATGCGGTCCCAGTCCAAAGGCCTGAGAAGCAGAACCCATGGTACAGGTTCCAGTCTGAATCCAAGACTGAGGGCGGAAGAAGACCTATGGCCCAGTGAAGATAGTCAGAAAGAGAGAACGAATCCTCCCTCCTCAGCCTTTTTGTCCTAGTCAGGCCATTAGTGGATTGGATGAGACCCACCCACACTGGGGAGGGCAAGGGGTTGACTCGTCTATTGGTTCAAAGGTTAATCTCATCCAAAACCACCCTCACAGACACACCCAGAATCATGTTTAGCCAAATACCTGGGCACAAAATTAACCATTGCACTCATGAAAAATAAATTTGAAATTCTTTTTAAAATAAATTGAACTATTTTTTTTCTCCTTGCCCTCCTGAACATCCCTCAAAATGATAGTAAATGTATGAAAAATGTAGAAAGCTATAATAACACAGAGGAAGGGACATAGGCCGTCATATTAGGAGTGGTTTCAATCTCTTTATAAAAGGTGGAAAAGGGTGGTTAAGAGTGGTTACTAAAGAAGCAGTGTTAGAATTCAGAGAACAAACCAAAGAGGTATCCATATGTTTGCAGGATGCCACAGGGGTGCAGACCCCAAAGTGCTAGATACTACAGAAGCAGGAATTAGCTACGGAGCTGGCAGTCGTGGGGATAATTGAGGTTTTTGTCCGATGGAAAGGTCTCCTGCCTACCCCACAGAATTCCTATGATTCATTTCTAATTCATGTTCTTAGCTAAATCATGCATCAGTCTAATTATTGTTAACAACACATTTATTGAGATGCCTCTTATAACCAATGATGGCACATCATGGGGAGAACCTTTGATCTGGGGACATCTGGGACCATGTGGTCGATGGTGAACAGGCATCCACCCACTGTTTAATCTCTCTTAATGCTTCAGAGTTCCACCCCAAGGCCAGCCAAGAGCACACGCAATAAATAAGGTGGAATGTTCACCTTACATGGTGCTTGATTTCTTTTTTTCTGATAATTTTTTTAAAATTATGTATTAGTTCAATTTATAATTCTGCCACCCAGAAGTATATACACTGTCAACGAGTTGTTATGTCTGCTTCTACAGTTTTTTAAAATAAAGAGGCAATAGATAGAACTAAAGTCCTTTTAAATACTCATTCCTATTTCCATTCTTCTCCCATCTTCCAGCAAGCACAATCCCTTATTCAGATTTTGGTATGTGGTTTTCTTCCAGATCTTTTTTTTTTAATTTAATTTAATTTTATTATGTTATGTTAGTCACCATACAATACATCATTAGTTTTTGATGTAGTGATCCACAATGTAGTCTTCCAGATCTTTTAAAAATTTCTTCACCTATACTGGATTCATTAATACTATAAGGTAATCATTTATGTATGTTCTACTTATATATATAGTAATATAATCTCCATCCCACTTTTTTGTTCAGAATTATGAATTTTTTTGTTTTTAGATTACACTGACACTTACAGAACATTTTCTGTGTTCCAGGGATTTTAAAAACACTTTTCACTCATTTCCATATTTATTTGTCACAATAAAACCATGAAGTAAGTGCTCTAATATCATTTTTAAAAATATTTTATTTATTCATTTATTTGTTTATTCGTTTGTTTATCTATTTAGAGAGAGAGCATGAGAGGCGGTTGGGGCAGAGGAAGAGGGAGAGAGAGAATCTCAAGCAGACTCCACCAGGAGCCCGATGGGGGGCTCGATCTCACAACCCTGCAGTCATGACCTGAGTTGAAACAAGTGTTGGACACTTAGCCAACTGAGCCACCCAGGCGCCCCTAATGTCATTTTTTAAACGAGGGAACATTCTGATCTTTTAAATGAAGATGAAGCTGAGACGCCTGGGTGGTTCAGTTAGTTAAGTGTCTGCCTTTGCTCAGGTCATCATCCCAGAGTCCTGGGATCGAGTTCTGCATCCTTGGGATCAAGTCCCATATTGGGCTCCCTGCTCAGTGGGGAGTCTGCTTTTCCTTCTCCCTCTATCTGTTGCTCCCCCTGCTTGTGCTCTTTCTCTCTCTGACAAATAAATAAAATCTTAAAAAAAAAAAAAATTTTTGTTCATTTTGGGGGCACCTGAGCGCCTCAGTTCGTTAAGTGCCTACCTCTTGGTTTTGGCTCAGGTCATGATCTTAGGATCCTGAGATCAAGCCTCACGTCAGCTCCACAATCAGTGGGGCATTTGCTTGAGACTCTCTCTCCCTCTCCCTCTGGCCCTGCCTCAGCTCACATGCTCTCTTTCTCTCTTCTCTCTAAAATAAATAAATAAATCTTAAAAATGAAATAAAAATTTGTTCACCTTGATCAGTCTTTTCAGAAATTTATTCTGTTAGTCTTTGCAAACAACTAATTTTTGTTAGTGGTGATCTTATCTTTTGTTCTGTTTCTTACTTTATTGCTTTGTGTTTGTATCTTTACTGTTTCTTATCTTCTATTTTTTTAATGTTTATTCTTTTTACTAAATTTATTTAAATTCTATTTAGTTAACATATAGTGGATTATTAATTTCAGTGGTAGAATTTAGTGATTCATCAGTTGCATATAACACCCAGTGCTCATTACATCACGTGCCCTCCTTGATGCCCTTCACCCAGCTACCTCATCCCCCCACCCCTTCCCCTCCTGCAACCCTCAGTTTGTTTCCTAGAGTTCATCATCTCTTATGATTTGTCTCCCTCTATGTTTTCATCTTATTTTTCCTTCCCTTCCCCTATGTTCATCTGTTTTGTTTCTTAA